CCTGGACGCCGATGCCGACGGGCCGGTGCTTCAGGTTCGACGACTTGGCCTCCTCCACCGGATAGTAATTGACGTCGACAACCTTGTTGAGGTTTTTCGTCACGACGTAGGCCGTGCGCCGGAGCTTGGCGAAATCGAATGTCGCGGCGTCGCCGGCGCCATCGACGTGGGCCGTGAGGTTGATGGACGCCAGGGTGCAAACCGCGATCTCGTCGGAGGCCGTGTACTCGACAATCTCGGTGCACAGGTTCGACGACTTGATCGTGCCCAAATGCTTCTGGTTCGACTTGTCGTTGCAGGCGTCCTTGTAGAGCATGTAAGGCGTGCCCGTCTCGACCTGGCTGTCGAGGATGGCGAACCAGAGCTGCTGCGCGGGGATGGCCTTGCGCGCGCGGCCCTCGGCCTCGTAGCGCTCGTAGAGGGCCTCGAACTCGGCGCCGTGGCAGTCCGCGAGGCCCGGGCACTCGTTGGGGCACATGAGGGACCAGAACCCGTTAGCCTCGACGCGCTTCATGAACAGGTCCGGGATCCAGAGGCCGTAGAAGAGATCGCGCGCTCGCTCGAGCTCGTTGCCGTGGTTCTTCTTGAGGTCGAGCCACGTCTCGATGTCCGCGTGCCAGGGCTCGAGGTAGATGGCGAAGGAGCCCTTGCGCCTGCCGCCGCCCTGGTCCACGTAGCGCGCCGTATCGTTGTAGACGCGGAGCATGGGCACGATGCCGTTCGACGTGCCGTTGGACCCGCAAATGTAGGAGTCCGTCGCACGGATATTGTGGACCGACAGGCCGATGCCGCCCGCGTACTTGGAGATGGCCGCGCAGCGCTTGAGCGTGTCGTAGATGCCCTCGATGGAGTCCTCCTTCATGGCCAACAGGAAGCACGACGACAGCTGCGGCCGCGGCGTGCCGGCGTTGAAGAGCGTCGGCGTCGCGTGCGTGAACATCTTCTGCGACATCATCTCATAGGTCTCCAGCGCGCCCGCCAGGTCATCGCCGTGGATGCCCAGCGCGACGCGCATGATCATGTGCTGAGGCCGCTCCGCGATCGCACCGTCGAGGC